AAGAAACAGTGTCCGCTAGATCTCTCGTGATGCTCTCAACGGACTGCAGCGGAATGGCTTGGGATATCATGAATATGCCGTCTACAGTACAATACACCAGCCCGATAGAGTAAATTACGAGCGTGTCGAGATAGAGAGGCAATTTTGCACATCTCCCGGGCCCATATCGTGACAAAAGCGTGACATCGCTCGCGGCGAGATCCCACTGTGACCGCATGTGACGCCTTTTTGCAGAACCCCCTACATGAACCGGCATCTCTCTCCTACGTTCCACAGGCTGCATAAAAATGCACAAAAATAATGAGGACGTTGATCACTACGTTACACACAATATGCGGAAGATCCGATAAGAATCAGTCAAGTGTGTGGAATGCTACAGGCCGAATTCGATACTTTTTGCAGAACCCCCTCAATGATAGTAGCCTCGAGGCGCGTCCTGTCACACCATTTGTCGCGTCTTGTCACGCACTTTGCAAGTCGCCACCGTGATCGTGCGGGTATTCCTCCACGGACTTATCACTACAGCTCTCCACCATCCTCCTCTGCCATTTCTACGCGTGCGGGTTTCATGGAGTCAGAGGAGGATTACGAACTCAGGCTCCGCCAACACATACGGAACCTCCTCTTGGACTACGCACTTACTCACCTGACTACTAACTATGTGACCTTCACCCAAGACGCCGTTTCCGAGGTCGGGGTTGCTTATCTCAGGCAGGAACGCGTCTTACACGGTTTTAGCTGCTATCTGGGTATCTTGTTCCAATCCCGGAAGTAGAACCCAACACGCTTGTTCTGCCCGCAGAGCCGTTTGCAGTCCTCTCAAAACGTCTTCAGTTGAATGAACTACCCCTATATGAGGAGAAATGGAATCTTGCGGGCGTCGAAGTGGCTTCGCATATACGAGATACTCTCACTAGAAAGACTAAACCGCCGTCCGTCGCCTGCTGGATCGTGGAAGACGAATGTGCGTCAAAGCTCAGTTGAGGCATCGGCACTATCTGGATATCTATGCAGATGATTATATGACTTCAATGTACCGCCCAATGTCTCCCATCTTGACACGACGTGCTATGCACGAGACGCCGAAGCCGGGCCACCTTACTGACCAGTCCAACTTACCGCAAAGCAGTGCGGATATCATAAGCAAGTGTTCTATCCGACCTGTAGAGGAGCAGGTTCTGGACGAGCCCTCAATCAATGTCGAGGAGGTACTGTAAGTCGTCTCGCCCCCATCACTACATATATGCGTCGTTCTACACTTTGCAGGCGCCTTAAACCGGCGCTTAATGCCGAGATGTGCGATGGCATAAGAGCTCTGATCCAAACAATCCCGAGCCTCTCTGCGCCTCGTGCTTCGGAGAAAGATAAAGTGAGCTCACGCGCCAACGACTTCCTTCGAGCACATTCACCGCCTCCCATCCTACGCCTGGAGGAGGAGTTTGTCCCTCTTTTTCCGAGGGCGTCTCATCCTAAAGCAGGGCCGCGGGCGAAAAATGCTGAAAGGCAGACACCCTCGGTGCTCAAATCGGTTGCGGAATTGCCTATCATGATTCCGCCAGCGGAGATCAAGGAGGAGCCCGAAGAAGAGTTGTTCAAGCAACATATGAGAGTCGTTGATGGATGGAGTGAGTGCTTGCTGCAATTGATCAGCCATTCCAACGGATATAACCCGAAATCCAAGACACATATGCACCAACTCCATGCTCAAGTCTGGGGACCCCGTCGCTCGATGACAATACTAGTGAGGTTGACGAGTTATTCATGCCATCTCCCGAGAAGGCAATGCCTATACAAGCACTGTTATCGGCCAGAATGGGTTCGTCCAGTCAGTCTGCAACATAGCTTCGTATTCACAACATGTCCAGATGAAGTTGAGATTCCCCGTTCAAGGAAACGTGGCGGAGCAAGAGCAAAGCCTAGGGGTATCGGTGCCGGGACCAGGTAGGAGATCCATGAGGACTCGTCCTTCCACCTGACTAAGCCAGGATACTCCAACTCCTAGTTTGCACTCTTTCCTGGCGCCAATGCTAAACATGCCTGAGGCGATAACAAATGCCGAACCACGTATAGTGACTACACCCAAATCTCAGCCATCTTCGCCGCGTACTACTATCACGGCCTCCATGCTTGGCCAAGCTCCTGTCAGCGATTCCTTCGAAGACATTTCTACCGAGCATAGGCAGCTCCTCCAAGACTCCGATGATACAGCTGGCGATGATTTTGATCAAGTAGTCCGGAAACTGTACAGAGACGTGAAAGGCTTGGAACCTGACGACTTGATAATGAAGGTGAAACTGGATGAACGCGAGTGCCATCTCATGGATGGTGAGTGAAGACGTTGAATTGCGAGGGGGGATATTAGGAGCTATAAGCATTGTAGTGCCGAGGCTTGCGTCCCCGACGGTGCATGATCCCAGCCGATGGATTCCGACGAGCTTCGAGTCTCTGCTCGCCCTTCAGGTGAAGAAAGGGCAGCCCGAAAGCAAGGACGAAGATGAGAAGGGTGATCTCGCTTTCCTATCTAAAGTCAAGGGTCTCAAGTCGCTCAATCTGGAACTGAGCTGGAGGTACGTCCGAGTACAGCCGTGGAGATTGAGTGGGATTGTAGCAGGAGGAAAGCACACGCTCCACCGCTTTACTCATTCACATCTCTGAAGGCCCTTCAAATTCGGACCTCGGGTTCCCACTCACGAAGAAGTCATTGGCATAGCTGAGAACGCTGGGGACGGTGCACTTACCGAGCAAGAGCGCGTTAACGGGGAAACGGCGGCAATTGCGGCGAGGATAAACGACGTCCTTGAGGCTGAGGGCACTGCGACGGCTCGAGACCACAGAAGCTGGAGATCGATGACCGAAGGATCTCCCACCATGGATTTGGCAACTGACGATGCAAGGAGCCCCTTCAACCCAATCTTGACGAGGAAAGACCGGCGGAATGCCTCGAAACTTATGCGGGGTGAAGAACTTCAGACCCTGCAAGGACAAGGGGTGCATACAGATGATGATGGTCTGGACTTAACGGACGAGGAACATGAGGTCGAACAGGTTCTGCGCTCTGCTAAAAGGCCACGGCTTCACTCCCCCAACAGGAAAAGCTTTGACGGGTATGATACCAGGGATCTGGACATGTTTTCTGGCGATCATATCTGCACCGACGATTCCGGGGTCGGGCTTATGGATACCCGCCACCTGGACAGACTGGGGCCAAATACGTCGCAATTAAAAGCGGGAGATCCACGCGGGCTAGCGGACCGTGACCAGGACGCTTGCCAGAGTCTGTCTCAAGGGGTCGCAAGGAACAACCGAGTGCTGATGGATGACTATCTTGACGACCTGGCTCTGGCTGCTCCTCTCCACGGAGATGACTTTGGGCTTCAACTTCCGACATTGAAGTGGACAAACTCTCTTTCTGCACCTGATGGACCTGTGCAGCCCGAAATGGCTCCTGATACACCATTGGGACTCCCGCTTTCGCCCTCTGATAGCTTTGCTGCGCAACATCAGCAGCCTGCATTCTCTATAACTGCGTCTGACTTGGCCTCGTCTACCACTCTCCATGGGACCATTGACAAGATTATACCTGAAAAGCCGCACTTCGAGTCGGACGAAGTACTTTCTGCTCGACAACGTCTAGCTGAGTTCATACGTCTGCGCTCTAAGCGTGTTCCTGTTGCAGAAGTTGAACAACAGGAATCTTCACCCAAGCATGCCGTTGAGCCTCGGATCGCACCCGATGCGCCTGTGCCTCCTCCGCAAGTGCCTCATGAGTTACTGGATCGTACGACGCTCACGGCTCCTCGAGATTGGGCGACAGATGCTAGTGTGCATCGTTATATGGCATCTTTGGAACTGATTCAGAAGCGCGGTCTTATTCGCTACTTGCAATCCGAAGTATCCAATGTCGATGTAGTCGAGAGAGATAGCCTTGGCGAGGCAGACATGATCTTGGATCCAGACACCTGTATCGTCTTCGTTTCTCTCCCTTCTCTTCCTGCTCAGTGCGAGGCGACTACGAAAAGGCTCAGTGCACTCTCATGGCGCTATAGAGACATTCTCGTTCTATTCGAAGCTTTCCCTGCATCTCGTGCGTATGGCTCTGCCCATCGCGGTGCTGTGGCTCCTCTCGAACTCAATGTGTTTTCTGCTCCGGTTGTGAAGGCGATCAAGAAACTACGAAGAGATCTGGGCATTGCTGAGGTCTACGAGCAGAAGCGAGCAGGCGTTCAGATCCACTCCGCCTTTGCGCTATCCGTGAAGGAGGCTGCGGTCTTCGTCCGTGTATTCGGCAACATGGCTGAGGCAGCGGATACCACCGGTGGAATGATATGGGGCGATCGTGCTTGGCTTGATGTGGAAGCAGAGGTCTGGCAAGTGCCCTTCACGCCTCAGGAAATACTGAAAGGTTCCTTTTTCTACGCAGGGCGAGTCCGATCTCGCAGCTCACGATGGGATGAACGCATTCTGTGCCGCGCTTATCCTTTCCCAAGTTACTCTGGACGATTTCCTGGAGGCCGACCCAGGGCAGAGGATGCAATTCGGACCTTTGGTCGGGCAAGACAGAATCGTGAGCTCATATGGCCCCGTACTTCTGGTACTGACTTCGGTCCATAGATGCAATTCAACGAGGACCTCGCACTACGACTCCGGGCTATGGCAGAGGCCATCCCCTCCGACCCACCGACTGACATAGGACCGACGACGAGCGAGCTTCTGTATGCCAGCGGCTCGGACGTATTCTAAATCTGGCGCAGCAACCCTCACCATGTGTTATACCAATAACCCAACTTACGGCTACACCAAGGTACTGCTACATCTAGACCATTCAATGCGATTCGTGCTCGCCATAGTTGTACATTACGATTATTCCAAGTATGTATGCCAGCAGTAGATATATAGCACTGTGCAACGTCCATTCAAACTGGTCGCTCTATCCCGTACTATTTTCTATCGACCCGTTAAGCGGATCTCGAGATATCGTAGTGGGAGGAAGGTCACTGCAGCAAAACCCGCCGCCAGCTTCACATGTGCATCCCTGTCAGCGACAACCGTGTCAATTAACATGGAGAGACACACCTCGAAGCCAAGATCGGCGCCGTAGAGCTCCGTGCCGGCGTCTCTCCCTAGCGGACCCGTATACCAGACCTAAAAAGATTCTAAGCGTCTAGAGCGGACAGGCCAGAGACGTATTGGGACTTACCTCAGACATCCCGACAACAGCACCCGCGACTCCGAAGCAGCCAGCCAGGATACCAGCGACACCCAGCGGCAACCTATTACCAATAAGCCACCATACGCAATCACCTAACCCGCCCTTCGCGCTCACCGCCCCGGCGTATCATAATCCGCCAAATTATACCCCCCAAGCGGTCCGCCGCGCCTGCGGAAGATGAGATGCTCCTCCGCGACGATGACGATGAAGAACGCCGTCCAATAACTCAGGATGCTGAGGAAGTTCGAGAGGATCTCGGAGAAGTGCTCGCGGCCCGCGACGCCCGCGATGGTGTAGATCGCGAACGCGAGGAGCGTCCACACGAAGCGCGGGATGAGCGCGAAGGGGCGGGCGAGCGCCTGGATGGAGAGCGCGGTGCTGTACGTGTTCGGGATGTTGTTCGCGCTGGGGAGGGGTTAGCTGGGATATAGACAGTAGATTAGATGGAAATGACGGACACGACGGATAGCGCGAGCAGGACGAGGACGAACTTGCCCCCGCCTTTCCACGGGGAGAGGACCTGCCCGAGCAGGCCGCCGGTGCTCCCCTCCGCGAAGGCGCTCGTGTATGCGGGGTCGGTGATCGTCATGAGCGCGGCGCCGAGGATCTCGACGAAGCAGATGGGGATGAAGAGGCCGAAGAAGGTGAGGAGGAAGACTTTGAGTGGGGGCGTGGACACCGGGAGGCGGCAGTTGTAGTCTGCTGCGACAGGCGCCCACTGTTCGTGGAAGGAGTCAGTTCAGGTGGAAAGCGCTAGGCAGGGTAAGAGCCCCTACCCCCGTAAACGACCCGAACACGATGCCCCCAAAGCTCAGCACGTCCGCGCTAAGTGCGCGCCCATGATCCTCCAGCCCCTTCTGCGCGCCGATGTCGAACCCAGCGCGCCCGCCGAGCCCCCAGAGGAAGAGCATCACGATGAACGTGACGATCCACGCGTAGCGCTCGTAGATGTGCACCATATTGTAGCCGATGAAACACGGGACGAGCGAGCAGAGGCCGATGATGATAATGCCGACCACGAGCGGGAGCGTACCTGGGTTGATGGACGCAAGCGTCTGCCCGCCGAGGATGACGGCGGTGGTGGAGAAGCCTAGCCTGTGCGGAGGGAAGTGAGTGAATGAATAAAGCGGGGGAAGGGGGGGCTTACTGGGTGAGGATGTTGAGGATGGAGTAGATGGTCCCGCCGACGTAGCCGGAGCTGAAGCGCGTGATGACCATGGTGCGTAGGCCTGTTTGGGGGCCGAGAGTTGCGATGAAGGCCGTGCATACGCCTCCAAGTGCACCGAAGCACATGATGGTAGCCACGGCATGCCTGTATCACAGAACACTTTCATAGGGAACTCTTAAAACTAATGCAAGACTTACGGGAAGGTGAGCGTGTAGAACTCTTGGGCCAAGACGCCGATGGGGATGGTCGTCAGGACGGTGTTGACCGACCTGGTTCAATTGCTACATCGGACAAGCCCAGCCCGTATAGATTCTACGACACGTACCACCACATCAACAAGCTACACAGCGCATACACTCAGTCAAAATCAAATCCCAGAACTAAAGCAGGCGCACTCACTTATTCCATACATTCTTCGACTCGCGCTCGTCCTCCGGCACGCGCTCAATACCTCTCGCCTCCACTCCATGGTCAAACAGCTTCGCCATCCACCCACCGAATCGACCAAACCGCTGCACGATGACCGTCTCGGGAGCCCTCTCCTCGATGTGCGCCTCTGTGACGGCGACGCCGCCGTCGCTGCTGCTGGCGGCCTTCTCCTTGTCCGGGTAGAGGTCGGCCATGGTGGTAGTGGGAGAAAGACGGCGGGGAGATGCCGCCAGCTGTCCTCCACTGACGCCGGCGTTGGGAGGAGTCCGCTTGATAGCTGGTGGTTATTTTTGGGCGGCATATGGAGGACTGCAAAACGCTGACACAACGGCCAACCGAAACTTCGGTGCCGACCGAAACCGGTAGCTGAACGCCATGTCGCTTATTAATATTCCTACGCCTTAGTAAAGCACATTCAGAAAAAGGAATATAATCATATCCGGGAAGTTGTCTCTCAATGTAAAATACATATTCCTACATAGAGTTACTATAAATGGCAAATAGTGTTCGATATTTGGGTATATCTAAAATACATAAGCAGAGTATATTATTCTGACCGAACTTTGAACAGCCACTAAACTTCATATCTTCACGTCCAGCAGAATAGAAAACAATATACAATAAGCAGCTGCAAGCACAAAGGGATTCAAAAATTTGAGACTTTGTTATGCCTTCTGATCTTACTCGGAATGCCTCTCTAAATATCATATTCTCTGCAGACCCGCAGGTAATCGCC